CGACGGCGCCGCAACCCCCAGGACGTCTGCCGCTGCAGCCATCGCCGCCCCAACTGCACCGCCCGACGAATCCACACCGGCAGGCGCCGCCGTGGCCTTTACCGCCGCCAGGTCGTGCACCGCCGTCGTACCTTGAATGACTGCCATAGGCACTTGATCCAGGCTCCTCGATGCCGTACAAATGTTTTCCCCCGCCGCTATCATCATCGCCGCCGCCGCCGCGTCCGCCTCCATGGCCACGCCGTCCATGGCATCCAGGTCCGCCGGATGGAAGCGACCCGCCACCCGGGGGGGTTGGGGTTGGGGTTGGGGGTGCTGCTGCCGGCTGGCTGTTGCCGCCGCAACCTCAGCGGTGGCGGCGGCGGCACCGCCACTCTGCCGCGCCGACACCATCAGGTGCGCCACGAGAGCTGGTAGCTCCAACCCGTCGTCCTCCTAGGGGTGCGCAGATTGCGAATACGGGCATACACCAAGAGGGGATTCAAGAGGAACAGAAAACAACACAAACAGACGGCCAAACAGACTGACAAACAGACCTGGACCTGGACAGACAGATGGACAGACCAACGGCGCCCGAGAGACTCGTATTGGAAAAACCGTCAGGCCGAGGGGCTCTTCCCTTGAGCCCCATGCCACCCCCCTTGGCGTCCTATGGAAAAACATGCCGTTGCCAGATGAATTGGTGCGCCTCCAGGCACACACTTTTACCTAGTCTACTACCTGCCTTATACTTTGCCTTAATGATCCAATAATTTTCTTCTAGTTCCTCTATTTCCACTCAAAACGGTCGTTTTTTGTGTGACAGTGTGACACAGCGTCCCCCCTTCCTGTCCCCTCCTCCACCCCCCATCCCGGGGGGCCGCCTCACTCACCTCCACGCGCAAAGTGCACCAGCGAAGGGCCCGGGGAACGATCTGTTGGAGGGCGTCCAGGGGCTTCTCAGGCAGCTGGGTGCCCGACCACTCCATCAACTGAGGACCGCCGAAAGGAGGGGGCGTGTGGGCGTGTGTATGAGTGAGAGAGGGGGGTCACACTCACCTGCAACCCCTCCTTGTGCGACCCGCCACCCCCCCTTTCCCCCCTTCCGCGGCTGCTAGCTCTCTCAGCCAAGCCCCCACCTAACCCCCCAACCCGGCCCACCCCGGTCGACCTCACCCACCGCGTTGAAGGAAGCCGCATTCGGACACAGCACCAGGAAGCGCCGCTCCTACGTGAGTGTGTGTGTACGTATGCATGTCAGTTTGTATGTACAATAGAGCCGGCCATGGGATGAGGGGTGGCAGGTGTTGGGGATGGGGAGAGCTGCCGTTGGGAGCGAGGCAGCGGGGCCGCCAGTATTGTTACAATTAATATTGATATCATATGTAATATTAATTATATGTATTATTATAATTATATGTAATATTAATATATTATATGTAATATTAATATATTGATATTAAATATTTGCATATGAATATATACTTATAATATTAAGGAACCCCTTTAGTTCCAATATTACAATTAATTCAATATTAATATTAATAGTAGTGCTAGTAGCGGCAACGGACGGGCGTACCATCGCCCGCAGTGGTCAGGAACGGGGCCCGAGCGGGTGCGCGGGAGAAGCGGTGCGGCGCGGTGCGGGCGGAGATGGATGCATGGATGGATGACAATATGGTGGTGGTGTGTCCATTGAACGGCACCCAGCAGCCAGGCATGCATACATACATACATACATACATACATACATGGCTGTCGCAACTCTGCTGCAACGCACACCTGGGGTGCAGCGCAGTGTTCGGGGGGCAATTGAAGTCCGTTTCCAAACAGCGTGATGACGTCATCCACTCCCATGTGTCCGGGCAGCCCCCGCAGCAACACCTGGGACGGGGGATGCCGGGGGTGGCGGGGGGTAGCGGTTTGCAGCGGGGGTAAGAGAGCGGGGGGTGGTAGTGGTGGCGGCAGATGCGGCGGGGCCCTCACCCTGCGCACTGCGGGTCCTGTTTCCCGGATGCGATCTCCCCCTCGTAGTCCCGAGGGTGAGGGGGTGACTGGGTGTGCTGTAGCAGCTGAGGATGCGGAGGAGGAGGAGGCCATGGTGGCCCTCTCCCCTTGACCGCCTTCGCTTGCGCTACTGCCGCCCGCGCCTCCTCCTCCTCCTCCTCCTGCTGCTGCTGCTACAGCCCCACCGGGCCAGGGCTGCAGCGCGACCTGGGGAGCGGAAAGGGTGGGGGGAAGGGGGGAGGGGAAGCGACCTCAATGATGGATACATACATACATACATACGCACGCGCGCCGTACTCTACCATGTACGTACATACATACATACGTACGCGCGCACCGTACCCCACCCACCCACCGTTAGAGGTCGCCAGCAGTCTGAGCCGTGCAGCCGGCTCAGAGATTGGGGCGGCGGAGAAAACACCCGCCGCCCATGTAACGCCAGAGCCGCCGCCACGTCGCCCTGTGAGGCGCAGCGCACCAACGCCACTGCCGGGCCATGGGCTCCTACCGGTCCTGCCGCCGCTACCGGAACCTCCGCCGGCTGCTGCTGCCGCGGGTCAGGCCGTTGTCCCTGCACCTGCTGGTGGGGGTGCTGCTGCTGCTGCTGTTGTTGTTCTCGTGCAGCTGCTGCCAGCAGCGGTGCGGGCACAGCAGTCTGCGGGTTGACCAGCCTGCCGGCCAGGAGCAACGTGGCCAGGGCCTGCAAGAGATGAAGGGAAGGGCGCGGGTTGTGGCACTGATGATATATTTCGAGGCCCTTTCAGGGGCCGTTGGCAAGTAATCTCTCTACCATTGGTGCATGCGGTGGGGAGCTGTGAGGTGTGTTGTGCAGCGAGATGGGTGGGTGGTAGTGGGTGGGTAGGACCCTCTCAGCAAAATGACCCGTGGGTCAGGCGCTACCACCAGTGGCCACCATTCGAAAGACGGCAACAAGCTGAGGGCCGTAACCTACTTGAAGAGAATAGCTAAACAACAACGGGTTCCGAGACTGTTCTACTCCGACCGACCGACCCATGGGTCACACACCTCGGGGTTGTGGGGCGTGGGGGCCGACAGCATGACACGCCATGGCAATGCCGCATCGTCACCGCCAACAGCAGCACCCACACCTGCTGGGCGGACGGCCAAGGCGAGGGGGCGACACGGCTTCCTTCTAAAGCTTTGACAGAATCGAAATCCGATTGAGACTGATCCGGATCCGGAATCTGGATCCGGGTTTCCCCAACCACCACAAAGCACTAAGCCTGCAACACAACAGGCCCAGCGGTTACCACCATCCACACCATAACCTGCCAGCAGTATCTGCCATACAAGATAACGTACAACTAACTCTATTTCCGGCCGTACAAAATTCCGGTACAAAGCGCGTTCCCCTTCCTCACCTCGGGCTGATGCCGTGCCGGGTCCCTCTTCCACCACCTGGTTCAGATCCGGACAGATCGGAGACCCCGTGAAGTCGCCAGCCCTTGCAGCCATCCCCGCCGCCGCAGCGGATGACCGTCTTCCCCACCGCCTTGCAACGCGCCTTGTCCGACATAGCCACTGCTGCCGCTGCTGCTGGTAGCGGCAGCCTGGACCATCTATGAACGTTCTTGCCGGCCCGGCCTCAGCCTCAGCCTCAGCCCCGGCAGCGGCGCCATGCTGAACGGAAAGCCCACTCTGCTTTAACCACTCCGAGCGCCCACCCTCCTCCTCCTCCTCCTCATTGTTCTCCTCGCCCTGATTCAACCCACCCTTGTCGTCTCTCCCTCTCCCTCTCCCGCGCGCTCTCCCCTCGTCCCCTTGGCCGCCGTCTTCATCCCCATCGTCGCCTTCCGAAACCCCGTCAGAATCCAGCAGCAGCGGGACCAGCAGCGGCAGCGGGCCATTCGGGAGCTCCAGGGAGACCTCCACTTCGTCGAGAGCGGCCGCCAACGCGTGAAGGCCTGCGACCAGACGGCGACACAGCCCCGTGTACACAAAAATGGCCGTGGGGATTGAAGATATTTCAAAAGATATCAACAAGGAGATATTCAGATCGTAACAGCGCTTGACGCACAAACGTGCAGGACGCCCATCTAGTCCGAACATGAACAGCAACAGCACATCTAGGCTTCTAGGTCACTGGAAATCTGGGTGACTCATGCTGCGAACTGCAGTACAGGGCCATAGTGTAGGGTCATGTACCCCTGCCGGCTGTCCACCCATCCACCAGCCCCACAAAAAGCTGGCTGCCCCGCGAGGGGTGAGCAGCTGGAAGGAAAGGGCGGCTGGCGGTCGTAGGCGGCGCGCTGCGGACCCAGTCATGCGCAATGCGGGTGATGGGAATGATCGTCTGAGTCGCAGCAGCAGCAGCCCGTACGTGTGCCCGTGCTCGGACTTACCTAGCAGTCCGTCGTTGCATTCGCTGCCGCTGGCGTAGCCAACCCCGGCTGACCGGGGGCCGGACCCCGACGCGAGACCCGGGCCCAAGTGGTGGCAGCCGCCGCCGCCGGGCGGGCCAGGCAGGACTGGGGCGGCACTACGGCCACCTCCGCTGTCGCTACCACCGCCGTCGGCCGCTGGCGATGGCGACGGCAGCTGCCCGCTGGGTCCATCCTGCATCCCGGACGCTGATGTGCCGTCAGCAGCCGGCGCGCCGCTGGCGGTCGAAACCCCGTCAGCTGCGAGGGGCCGACTCTCCGAAGCACTGACGCCTGCGAGGTGAACAGCACCTGCTGTTGCTGTTGCTGCTGCCGGAGCCGCCGCCGCAGCCCCTGATGTGGAACACTCGCCAACGCCAACGCCACCACCACCGCCGCCACTGCCGCTGCCACACCGCGGTGGGTTATCGTCATCTTCATCATCGAGCGGCTGTAACAATAGGTTGATGAGCTGGTCCAATGCATTGCCCCCATTCCCGTCATCGCTAGCTGCAGATGATGGACCCGTGGGTCGCTGCCCCGGCACGACCACTACAATGGCTTCCGTGTCTTCGTTCACTGATGCACTCTCCGGATCGGGTTGGCGCAGTGTTGCTGTGCTGGACAGGAGAATGGGGTTAGGGTCAATGGTGTAGCTAGTGGACAGAGCATTGAGGTGTGGCTGCGACGGCGATGGCTGTGCCGCCGTGGCCTTCTGCCGTGTGTTTAGGCTGTGTGGCTTTAGGCCGTTTGCAGGGCTGAGGCGACGGTTTGACAAGGCGCCGTTGCTGGCATAGTGACGACCTGTACAGCAGCCAGCAGTGGAATACTAACATTCGGGCGCCGCCCAAGGCCGAGGACCTTATCGGAAGGGTGTGATTGCCACGTAGGACTTGGAAGCGTGAACGCCAGTGTCTGGGTCAGGGAGGCATAAGAGAAAGTGCTTTCTAGGCACGCTTCCGCCAGCCCATAGCGCCTGTTCGCTTTCTTTGAGAGCGTGCGAAACTTTTGTCGTGGGTGTGCCTCGCCTCATTGTACGCGCCCCCCCCATTTATTTCAATTTAGCTCACGCCCACCTGCGCTGCGTTGATTTGTGTCTGCATCCCGGAAACCCAGGTTAAAGGAGAACCCTAGGCAGTCAACGGCAGTGGGAGTCAACTCGTCTACCACAGCCTTGCCCAGAGGCCGTGTAACAATTGCAACGTCCTTCGTCGCCGTTATCAGCGGTGAGGCAGCTGCAGGGCAGGCAACGAGGAGAGTTTGTCACAACAGTCAAGGAAAACCCATACACCGGTAGACGACGGTACGGAGTTCTGCATGCTCCAGCTTACAGAAAACAAAATGAGCAGAGGAGCTTGGGTGTTGCACGGTGTCCATCGCACTTTGGCGCTATGGAGTCCGGGTACATTCACATTGCCTAGATGAAGACAACACAGTTGCTGAATGCCTTATATCAAAAGAGAGATTTGCAACCCTAAGCGAGCTACCTTTTGCGACAGCGGGGATACTCAAACTCTGAAAGATGTCGCTCCAGAAACCACCCGTACCATTCTTCGCAAGTTAAAATACTTGTCCAAAATCTAATTTGATATATACACTGTATGGGCGCGCATCTCTTGTATAGTCTGTTAGATAATAAATTTTTATCTTGCCATTCCGTTACAACAAGATGTCTGCCCTTGCTGCTAAGTCCGCTGCCTCGGGCGTATGCTTCCGCAGGTGTGTAAATTAATAGGATATAAAGCAGCACCCAGGCCAGCTTTCAATCCCATTTTTAAGATAACTGCCTGCTTCAAACTCCTTGGCGTTTGCAGGGGTGTGGCGCGAACAGCGCTTCCAATGCCCGTGCAGAAGCGTAAGTGAGCTGCGTTAAGGATAGAACCGGCCAGAGGTTGCTTACTTCGACGATTCTTCAAGGCCTCACATTGATCAAACCGGGATGTCGACAGGTGTTGTTCGAGTGCGCGCGGAGCCGGAGAGCAGCACTTCGTCCTCTGAGGATGTCGCTCAGAAGTTGCAGGCTCAGGCGACTGAGGCACTTAAGTTTGTGCAGGTGGGGTTCCTCGGTTAGCTGATCCTCGGCTATCATACATTGCAGGTGACTGATTCCTGAAGATGGATAGGTAAAATCTAGCGCTTTTATAATACCTGACGGTAAAAATACATTTTTAATGTGCCTTGAAGTCAGGCGTCCGTTGATGGACACTCCTTGCATTGTTTTGCACCGAATACTGTAGGGCAAGTGGGATAGCACGGACAACTCGGAGAAGCCCGCGGCCCTTGCCATAATTCTGTAAGTGATGGACTTGCAACTTGCATATACCTGTCGACGCGGGGACAATATGCTTGCCCCCGTCGTCTTGGGACGTGCCGGCCTCTTTGATGCTACACAAGGTGTGTGATTTTCGCTCGGAGGACTTAATACGCTTGTGCTCTTGGACTTTTGCAGGGGCGTCGTTGTCGCTCAGATCGCAATCGGCGCTACCATTGATGCCGTCGATCGCATCCCCGTGGTATGTTAGTGATGGGCTAGCTAGGGTGTGGGCATTTCTACCTGCCTGCCTCACGCCTGTCTATTACTCCCTTGATGCAGATTAACAAGGGGCTGCAGCTGATTGGCGTTGCCGTAACAGCACTCTTCTTCTACCGCTATTTCACCGATCCTTCAGAGCGGTACGTGTGCACCTTAACTAGCAAGGTGGCTACGCGACCTAATGCCGGCCATACCCAAGCATATCAGCGTTAGAGTTGTTAATTCTGATTATTGACCCGCCTAATGAACTGCCCCTACGCCTGGCAGGGAGAGCGTCAAGAAGAGCGTGGATGCCTTCGTCAAGAGCGTGACTGGCGAAAAATGAGCTCAGACATCAGATGTGGAGAGTTTGGTGTTTAGCTTATGTTGCTGCACGAGGAGCTGTTCGTGGGACATTATGTTATTGGTTCCTGTGAGGATCCGGGAATTTTTCTGCAATCTAAATGCGGTGATGCAAACGTTCGCGGGCGGGAGGCAATCTTTCATATTGTTCGGTTTCCTTGGACCTCGTTCTGATTTGCCTGGCATGACGTGCAATTATGAACGTGACGTTTGACCTGGTATCCGGATTTCTTATTATCGGTGGTCGTGCCTGCTAAGGCTTCTATTTTACAGCGGAGTTGGGTATTTCATGTTATGATATTTCTTCAAACCTCCCCTTAATCGTGTCAACGTCGGGTATACCAATAACGTACCCGACGTTATGTAATAGACATAACAATGGAAAGTAAACCTTGTATGTTCCGGCCTGCGGGCTGGTTGCTGTATCTAACAGTTCTCGATGGCATGACTGACTACTGGCCCTAAGGGCAGGGTTCGCGGCAGATGGGGACATCGGCATGCCAGGGGCGGGAATATGGTGCCAAAGTCCAGTTTCTTTATGCACAGTTTACTGTAAACTTTCAAAGTAGACTTTCAAAGGGCAAATCCCAAAACAAGGACTACTCCAGGAGTGAAGGGTTTTAGGAGATTGTAACGAGACTTACAAATATGCTCCAGCTCGCATCAAATATGCATTCTTTTGCGCACGGTGTATCACGATACCTAGTTGACACCCAACACGACAGGGTACTTCGCTTAACCAAGTACAGGCAAGCAATACTTCAGCTGGCGTATGAGCAAAGCTCCGAAAACAGTAAACGTAAAATCCAATGATTGGAATAGCGCAGGGTATGCCATTATGCACCGTCAGTGCCTAATCTTCAACTACCAGTATTGTCAAATCGGGGATAACAAAACAAACACGTCAGCGCTCCACGACAGTACTACAAAACCATTTATTAAGCAAGTTGTCATTTACGCTACAATACCAGCACGCGTCAGATCCCAAGGAGGTTGATCCAGAGCATGACTGCTCGTTGAACAATGCCGCATAACGCGTATTGGACAGGTCATATCCACCTAGGTCATATCCACCTATCACCCTCACATAACCTGCTACATTTCCAACCCCCTAAAATACACGCTCGCAGACAAATCTGAACCATAGGGAGTATGCGTATGCTTCGGGTCATACTACGTCCGAACTGTGCACTCCGAAAGCGGCTAGCGTATCCGCCCATTTCCACCCAGCTGCATTCCGACATGGCACATGCCGCTTCTCAGGACAGTGCCATATAACCCTGACCAATGGTAATGGCGCAGAAGATTTTTTCGCGCAATTCCTCCCGCGACACGTAGCGTGGGAGGTCAAGCTGCCGGAAGCAGGTGTGCGCGGCCGGCAGGCGAGCGGTTGTATCATTGGGGTCATACATGCGTTCCACAGCCACCATATGGAAAGCGGGATCCATAGAACCAAAGCCCTCTGCAGGCATGCCATCTGAGCCCGACCAAAACTGCAACAGCTGGCGGCGCTGCACGTCGTCGAACGACTCGGCCACTTCCCAGAACCACGAAATGATATCCTCCTTGCCCGTGTAGCCGTCCTCGTACCTGTGCGAGAGTTGAGTGTGTTCCAGTTTGGTAGCTTATATACGTGAAAGTGCACATTTGCAGTGAGGGCAGCCTAATAGCCCAAAGCGCACAATCCAAAGCGCACTTTAAAACAACGATTCAGACTCACTTGCAGTGTCGTTTCAGGTCTTGGATGTCGATGCGCTGCTCCCCGCAAACTAGCAGCTGCATCTCCAGGCTGCTGAACGCGTACTTGTCCAGCAAATCACGCGGGATGAGCGAGTGGAAGGCGTCGATTAGTGCACTCATCTGGGCTTCCACTGCGCCCACCAGCATCTTATGGGCTTTCAACAGCACGTACTCGCGCTTAGTGGAGTTGGTTACTTTAATGTGCTTGCCACCAGGCTTCAGAGGGATGGCGTTGGCGGACACGTCGTCATTGTCGCAGCACGCGAAGGGTGAGGCCGCTGCACCAGCAGTTGACGCCGCTAGCGTATTGGAATTGGTCGGCGTGGAGGCCTCCGCGTCGGGCACGGTGCTGGGAGCTGCGGGCAAAAGTGGATGGAACCCTGAGTACAGGATGTATACAGGGCTTAGGCGTGGTGAGCCGGGTCAAGCTCAGCGCACTGTAGACGCACAATGTATGCGGGCTTCCATGTATCGTGTTTTAGGAAGGTCATGGAAAACATGGCGCACACATGCCCATTTTTTCCATAAACTTCCTAACCCACGATACATAGAAGCCGGAATGGTATAATCCTGCCCTGCGCACATACCTTGCGACAACATGCCTGCGCCCGCCCCCGCGAGGGCCGTTGCCACCTGGTTAGCGCCGCCCGCTGCTGCATTGGGGTGCTGGAATGACCACACGAAGTTCTCGAAGATCAGACCGTCAATGTCCATGGATAGAATAGACATGAGCGACCGGAACTCAGTGGGGTCCAATTGTTGCAGGTCCACTAAGCTCAGGGGGTTGCCGAGCAAAAGCTTCCAAAACGGCTCGCACAGCGGCAGGTTGAGCGTAATTGGCCCCAGCTCCTTGCCGCGTGCGGCGCTCTCCAGAATGGCCTTGGCCATGAAGAGCCCCACAAAAGCGAACTTCTTAAGATGCGCGGGCGAGGACGAGGTGGGCGTCACGTACAGTTGATTTCGCTGCGGCCCCGCCGTGTAGAACAGCTCGGGGGAGCCGCGGGAGATGGCCGAGGAGAGCGTGGAAAACCACTCGCGTGTCACACCCCCACTGTCCATGCCGGCTTCCCCAATGAAGGTCACCTTCAGCGGTTGCCGCCACACGGCGTGTCCCTTGCCAGCAAAGATAGCGACGGAGTCTTTGAAACAGCGGTTCCGCCGGATCTGCATTATGGTGGGCATTACGGCAATTATTGCTATTAAGGGTGTGGCTTTGGTAATGGAACTGCCTTGGTTGGTAGTAAAGGCGCTGTCCTGCACGAAGTCACAGGCGCAAGTGCAGCTGCACGGGACAGTTTATGTATAATATACAAACCCATCACATCTGTGAACGTACTTTCGTTGAACTAAGCATCATGGCTTGAAGGTGGAGTCCCCTGGATTGGGCCCCTGTCCACGGTTCACAAACAACCAAGCGTCTCTCACCTCAAGCTTGTGGACCGGCCCATCCGCTGCAAGTTTTGCGACCTCCTGGAGGAAAACTTTCCTTCGCATCCTGAAGTCTTGTCGCACCCACCGGCGGTGCACAGCGTCAAGCGCGCCGGCCGCAGGTCCTGGTCCTGCCATTGGCCGCGGCTGCAACGGCAGCATAAGCATCTCTTCCACTTGTTCCCAACTGAGCGTTGCGCCGGAGCCAAGCGACACCAGCCGCGCGCCCAGCTCCTCTAGCGACGGTAGCACCTCCGCCTCCAGCGAGGACACGCCGCCTGGCACCGTGCACCGCAGCGCCAGCGTTGCGAAGCCCTCTGCCCAGGCTGCCATGTCCGGCGTGTCGGGCAGCCGGGGCACCAGATTCCGCAGCGAACTGGAACTTAGCGCCTCGCGCACTGCCGACAGCAGTCCCAACGGGCCCTGCTCCGTCAGCAACTGCAACAGAACTACGCCAAATGCGTAAAAGCTAGTTGGCATGGAGGCATCCGGTGCGGCGAAGAGCGCCGCTGGATCTGTGTACGCCATATCGCAGTGGAGTGGGGAAGGCGGAATGCTTGCTGCGCCAGCACCGGGCGCAGCGGTGGTTGCGTAGCTGGCCCCGAATCCGACAAGCAAGCTGCCACCACCGTCGCCAAGCGGACCTAACGCTGCTTCAAGCTGGTTCAGCAGCACCGGCAGCATGCTCAACTTGCACTGTTGCGCATCAACCTGCACGTTCGCGGGGGAAACTAGAGAGCGCAGAGCATGCGGCGACAGTAAGAGCACGCCTGGCTGTTGCTGCTGGGCAGCGGCCGACATAGACACGCCCGGCTCGGCGGCACCCATTTGGGAGGATGGGCCTGGACCAGCCGCGTCATCACGTAGCCAGGCCCCGGACATCAACGCCTGCTCTGGCCCTGCGGCTCCACCAGTGGGTCTCAAGTCCTGAAGGAACGCTAGAGCCTTGCAAATGTCCGAGCCGATACGCACAACCTGCTGCCAACTGAGCAGGCCACGCTCCAAACGCGTGTGTAGTGATTCTTCCCCAAAAGCCTCCTCAACCACCCATAAGACCTGGTGCTGCTGATGGTGCAGCTGACGTTCGGATTGAGGAGCGTTTAGGCTAAGGGCTCTGCCTGCTTCCTCAAGCGGTAGCGACGGGAGGGAGAGCGGCTTGAGCGGAGATGTGCAGCGCAGAGCGCTACTGTGCGCGTGGGTGGGACGCTGCGGCGTGGCCGCGCGGGATGTGGAGGCGGATGGCGGTGCCGAGGACGGACCGGAGAAGGCGTCGTCCTCTGCCCACGCGACGGCACTGGTAGTCGCTTGCTGGATACAAACGCCCAACACCGCCGTAATGTTGGGATGTGAGATACAGTAGCGACTGTATGCTCGTCGAAGCTCCAGATAGGATACGGATTGGCTGATGGGAACCTTCCAAACGCGCACCTGTTCCAAGGAGGGTCAGTGGCACATAGGCAGATGCAGAAGACATGCCGATATCACCTTCCACGTTGGGCACACAACACACACAAGACCCCATTTCCTACCCGGCAAATATCACGCAGCAGAGCCCTTCTATTAGTAGGGAAACGTTAGAGGCCCCAGTCAACGCTGAAATGCAAGGGACAAACCATGGCGCCGGTTCCTGAAGCGCACCTTGACGCCTTTAAAGGTGCCCATGAACACCTCACGCCCCTCCACCATGATGGGTGCGCTGCCGCCCACCATCATGGCCTCCACCTGCTCTACCGTGAACGACTGTACAGTAGACACGCTGTCCAAGAGGTCATCAAAGGTCGTCTGTGGCATGGACACCTGCACACCGCCACCCGCGTCCATGGTTCGTGGCACGCTCGCGGCGTCCAGGTCATCATCATCGTAGTCATCGGTAGCCTGCGAAAGCCCACCAGTATTATGCACGTCAACACCTCTCCCCCAATCACAGGCAGAGTAGACTACAACTCAAGAGTAGACTGTAAACTCATTACAGCTAAACCCTGGCCCGGCACCACGTCCGCTACCCAAACGAAGGCAGTTCAACCTACCTGGTCATGCTCGTCATCCGCAACCGAGTGGCTGTGCGAATGTGGGTGCGCGTTGGCTGCATTCGGCGCCGCACTTGTGGAGGACTTAGACCGACTAGCGCGTATAGAACCCGAAACTGCGAACGCGTTCATCCCACTACGCTCCCGCTCGTCCCAGTTGCTGTCGATAACCACGTTCGTGCTGCCGGCATCCGGGCGACGGCTACGCGGAGATGGCTTCCCACTTGCGGCAGCTGCGAGTCCCGCCGCTGCTCGTCTGCTCTTGTCCTTCATAACCATCCGCACGTCGTCGACGCCCAACAAGCGCATGGCTGACGCGCCACCCGCGCCGCCGATGGGTGATCGCGGAGGGTGTTGCACTACCGCAGGGTGCAGCCGCACAGGCGAGCTGACCATGACGGGCGATCGGAATGCCGAAGGCACTGAGGGCATTGGCGCAGCTACAACAAGGCTCGGAAGCCCGTTTAGGCCATCAAGCTGCACCGTGGACGTGGCTGCGGTCATGCTGTTCGTTGCCGGTGCCGCCACCAGCCCGCTCGCCGCGCTCAACACAAGTAAATTGTTTCGTGCCACGACACCCTCCAGCTCTCCTGCAGGGAGTTAGAGACCAGCAAGCAACTCGGAAACATAAGTCCAACCCACTGGAATATGTGCAAGGTTGATGTGTCGAATTGTATTCGTCAGGGGGCGTACAACACCAACCTAAAACGCGACGACATGCACGTTTCCATCACACTTACCAATGCGCTGCATAGCAGCGCTGACGCGCTGCTGCATCTCCGCCGCCTCGAATGAGCGGATGGCAGCCATTTCGGCACGCGCAGCTTCGATGCCGCGGCGCCTCTCCCGCTCCTTGATTCGGCTGATAGCCTCCTGCACCTCCCACGGTGTCGGATCCTCAAGTTCGCCGAAGTCCCCGGTAACCTGGACATCAGCAGTTTCCATCCAAAATAATTTGCAGCTGCCAAGACCAGTACAGATACAGTACAGTATTCGCTTTCGTTCGCCATAATTCCACAGGCACGCAGTACTAATGTGTGACACGTTTGCAGGCAGGCCGTGTGACATATACACAGTGCATATTAAAAATTTGCGCGACGGTGCAGCAGATAGCCTACATGGGTAATGACTTCGCGCTCAAAGTCGTGTGGGTTCGCAGAGCGTGTCACGAGCAGCGCCTCCTCCTCTATGACGACCACCATTCGACCGCCGGGCTTGAGGAGCGACAGGAAGGTAGGGAGATCCTCCTCGCTTAGGCTGGCGTCGCAGTAGATGGCGTCGTAGGTTGTGCCGTCCGTGCACTCTGGGATTAAGACGTTGCTGAGGCTAAGCTCTATCGTGGAAACACACCTGGCGGGAACAGATGTGACAAGAGCCACTGCAGCGTCATCCCGTCGCATAAATCCATTCTGCAGCTGACATGTGAGCCGTACGGTGTACATTGCAACAAATGTATGTGGTGGTATGCGCAATATGACTCACTTGGCTGGGCTGCACCCCAGGTTGTTGACGGCAATGCTTGAGCCCGGCGCACGATCCAGCACGGCGAGGCGGTCCCGCAGCTGCTTCATGTTGCTGCGCGCAGCCTCCAGACGTGATGACACGCACTCGATGCCGTGTACAGTGCCTGCAGGCCACCCAGCGAAATGTGTTGCCTTATGCTCGAAAACGAGGACCGTTTGATCGGAGCTGAGAGGTAGGCAAAGAGGCATCTCTTACTACCAGCCAAGGGATGTGCAAGCAGGACACACGAATTAACACGGCGACCTAAAGCACGCGTTTTAGTCCCATTTCGTACCGCGCTCGCCAACTAAACAGGCGGCCAACGCCGTTACGTAGCCAGTTCCGCAGCCGACATCCAGAAACGTCGTTGAATTGTTGCTGCCAGAACTGAGAGCCAGCTTCTCCAACGCCATCGCCACAAAGCTCGGCGGTGGAAGGGTCATGGTCGACCCATCTGACATCCGCACCGTCACCTTCTGGTCCCTGTGAAACAGAATGGCGGAACCCGGAGCGCGTAAGCCACGGCACAAAAACGTCGAAAGGATCGGGGGCTGCCGAGGAATGCAACCGAGGAGATGACGCTGGGAGACGGTAACCTGAATCCAAGAGGTACCTGTACCCGCTGGCTGGGTGAATCGTTTGCATAAGCATGTCTGCCATGCAGAAGCGCGAAGACAAAAATGCGAAACAGCATATGATTCAAGCAGTGCATAGATGTACCTGAACGCCTCGCGGTGTCGATCCTTTGGCACGAAGAGGTCGCGTGGGATGACAAGCATGGCGGCCTCAAGGCGGGGGGGCACGATGCAGCCCTTGGCCTTCAGAATGTTAACCAGCTCCTCGTTGGTGTGCTCCGACTTGCCGATGGGCCCCGGCGCCAGAGAAGCCTGCCATTAAGGGAAAAGTAAGCCCCAAACCCATATTCCATACTGCAAAGGCCTATAAGAACAGGCTGTGTACCAAAAAGGTTTGGTCTCGACAACAAACGGCTTACAGTCCAGCCAGCCTGGCCAAACGGACCGGAGCTTTGCGCAGCCGTGCGGCAACCCAAGCGGGGCAAATCCAGTAAAGGAATTGAACGCCCGACGCAGGTTGCACCTATGCCGCGTGATCCCGGCTCCACGTCGACGGGCGTGTAATACAACAGTGTTCAAATGCAGTGCACGCACAACGCTAATCCCTAAATTCTCGCGGAACTCACCGATTGGCGGGAGCTAGTGATCGTGACCGCCGCGTGGAGCGGCCCCTTGACGCCCGCGATAGTGCCGATAGGGCGGCCACCGTGCGAAAATTTGAGTGTGCCCTCCTATCCAAGGCAATGAGAGTGGGCAAGGTACGTAGGTTTGGTAATTTGCATCACTCACACGTGCGTGCACTGAAAACACTTGTAACAATCGCACCTTCAAGTCCAAGGTTAGGGTCACCTCGCACTTCCCCTCCACGAACGTGAAGATGGGCGCTGCCTTGCCCTTGTGCTTTGCGGTGGATCCCCTGAAAGGATCATCGTGCAGAGGGTGGACGTTTGAAGGTGCAATTGATAAAGCGGTCCTGGACATGGCGGAAACATGCAAACTTATTGGCGCAAACTACACTCC